TATCAGGTATTTTCTGCGTGTCATTGTTTGGAACACGACTGACGTAGTTTTGGATGAAACCAGCATTACTGGTGAAAATATGAGTGACATCTATGTAAAGGGGTATGTAAAAGATTGTAGTCTAAGATAAAACCATTGGTCAATTTTGAGATTTTGTGTTCTTTTGCTTCCATAAAATGTATTTTTTTTCATCTGTAGATTTAAATAACAGTACATATTGTGAAGGCCACTTTCTCAAAATGTTTCTCAGGCACTGAGCCAGAAATCTCCACTTCGTTAGCACTTACATACACCTATACTTTCTAGCTGTTGACAGTAGTTATAGAGTGATTTAAAAGTGATATCTACACATTTGTGGCTTTATCCAATGATTTCTGGTCCATATTTATTTATTTAGATAAAAATTGGCACAAACATGGTTTATCAATGATTATCAAATGTTTATCAGTGGTTGTTTAAAATTTTTTTTATATTATTTTGTATAACCATAGGGCATAAAGTGCACATATAACAATGTATTGCACGCGAAGTGTTTTCTATTGTGGAAAAACAATATTTTATTGTATTGTAACCTCTTGATCATTTTAAAGCTGATTGATTAAAAAATATGTTGTTAAATAAAGATGTTAATGTTTGTATAAATTGTGTCTATTTGTTAGTAGGAACTTCAGTTAGACGTTTTGTCATTATTTTCAACATCATAAAATGTTCAGTCATATTCAGTCTACATTTATCCATGATAAATTGGCACAAACATGGTTTATCAATGATTATCAAATGTTTATCAATGGTTGTTTAAATTTTTTTTATATTATTTTGTATAACCATAGGCCATAAAGTGCACATATAACAATGTATCAAAGTCAGAAATGAACCGCTTGATATAGTTAAGCAATATCAGAGTGCAGTTTTCCCTGACATTTCTATGATTGGAAATGCGATATTAATCTTATAAAACAATTCAATAAACAAGAAGTTAAGTTACAAAATACCAGCAACCGTGTGTGAAAACCTTGTGAAGACTTACAGAAAATGTTTGACCTCTGTCATTGCCAACAAAGTGTATATAACAAAGTATTGAGATGAAATTTTGTTATTGACCAAATACTTATTTTCGACCATAATTTGCAAATAAATTCTTTAAAAATCCTACAATGTGATTTTCTGGATTTTTTTTCTCATTTTGTCTCTCATAGTTGAGGTATACCTATGATGAAAATTACAGGCCTCTCTCATCTTTTTAAGTGGGAGAACTTGTACAATTGGTGGCTGACTAAATACTTTTTTTCCCCACTGTATATATAAATATACATAAAAAAATAAAGTAATTCTGAGCAAAGCAGTTTGGGAGTGTTTCCTTTTTTCTCTGCACTCTGAGAGAAAGGGACCTTTAATGGCTAAAAAATACAATAAAAACAACAACGGAGTCAGTATGTAGTCTTTTAGCCTACTTAAAAGCAAAAAGTTTCAAAAATGTTCATACCAACAATAAAAAAAAAAAAAAATTTTGTTCAATATTTTGTTGTTTTTATAACCTATCAGGAATTTTAGTTTGTCATACAAATATAACATAATTCGAATATACACTGTAAAAACAATATATATGGTCTATTAGTTTATTAGTAAAATTGCATTAAGTTAATGTGAATGTACATTTTTATTTGTTTTAAAAACTTCTAAGCAAAATCTTGACCTTCGTGGTCATCCTGCAGTGGTTTTTTTCTTTTTCTCACAATGATTTAGCTAAAATAAGATGAACACATTTCATAAAAAAAAAAAAAAAAAAAAAAATTCAATATTTTGTTGTTTTATAACCATTAGGTGTCACTATGTACATTAGTCATATCAGGAATTTTAGTTTGTCATACAAATATAACATAATTCGAATATACACTGTAAAAACAATATATATGGTCTATTAGTTTATTAGTAAAATTGCATTAAGTTAATGTGAATGTACATTTTTATTTGTTTTAAAAACTTCTAAGCAAAATCTTGACCTTCGTGGTCATCCTGCAGTGGTTTTTTTCTTTTTCTTTTTCTCACAATGATTATAACATTTAGCTAAAATAAGATGAACACATTTCATAATAAATGATAAAGTGTAGGTAAATGAATGAATGGCTATGAATATCTTTTTGTATAAATGAATAACATTTACAAGTTACTAGGTTCTGCCCAAAGCATTCTTGCTCTATTTTTTTTATTTAAATGTAATTTATTTAAGAACGTTTTAATTGTTTTTAATACCCTTTAAAATGGACTTTTCAAAGTTGTAAATAAAACTGTCAAAAATAAAATCTATTTAAAAAAAAGTATATCATTACATATATTACAGTAAAGTAATTATTATTAATAAATAACACTGACGCTCTATCAAAAAGAAAAACAAGGTAATAATTGCGTTTTTAGTATTTATAAATTCTAATTTAATTTATAAAGAGGCAGCCCTTGGCGGATATGACGTCGTTTCTCAAGCTCAAGCGCGTGGCGTGATATTTAAATAGCCACCTGAGGCGTAATCAGAGAAACTTCGACCCCGTTAGCGCTGCTGAATAATAGTGTACTGTGAAGCGAACGCAAACTAACGCACAAACGTTCATTACTAAACTGCAGTTCATTTCTTTGTGTTTGACCTGAGAGTAAAACCGCGACGTTTAAGCTCAGGTAAGTGACTTTAACTTCTGCTTGTACTGCTAACTTGCTAGTCAATTGCGACAGGTGCTGTTGAGTCAATATTTACCTGAAAGTTCTGGCAAAGTAGATCTTTTCTTCTTGGTGCGTTTATTATGGGGTTTAATTGCGTTTCATTTAGTTGTTTCTGTAGTAACATGAGGCTTTAGAATATCAGTTTGTGAAATGCTGGGTCTTATATTGTCTGTCAGATGTAGATATCAGTGTTTGTATTTCGCGGCTGTAGGCCGATGCTCTTTCTCATTGGTTCATTCAGCTGTTTTCTCTGGATGATGCGGTGAGAGATGGCCACATATGGATTATAATGGTTTAACGGTGATACTGGTGCTGTTTCATGTGTTGAAGGT